GAGCAAGAATTTGAATCCTGAATTACTTGTGCTCTTACTTTCTACTGTTTCCACATGACATAATACTTAGGTACTTTAAGACTTTATATGTAATTGAAACTAAACCTATGAATTTTTTTTAAATGATTATACCCTTAAAGTGTATCTTAGTAATTCCAACTTTAGGATTCTAGCCTATGGATTTTATCTGGAATATGGACAGATTTACTCACAAACATGTAAATCTCAGTGTCAATTAAAATAGGGAAAAAATAAGAAGTGGTTTGACTGTTCAGCAGTGGCCCTCCTCCAGTCTTGGGTGGTTGCTCCTCCTCTTGGTCCACAGCATCCTGCACTAGTCTCTTGTTACTCTGACAAGGGGCACCATACTGTGAGCTTCTTAAAAGCTGAGCTTTTCTTATATATGTTTGGTTTAGAATGAGCACTCGAATATGTGAGAAATGACTCTGGAGTTGCTTATTTAACACATATGGATACTGAAAACCGGGTGTTAAAGGAAGTTACTAGATAGAGGTCACAGGGCAGGACTAGAATCCAAGGCCACATGCAGGGTTCTTCTCCCTCCACCGTAAACTTTTTCTAAAATGAAATAAAAATGGATGGTGTTTGAATGCTTGAGGCAGGGGTGGGAAAGGTGGAGGAAGTTGGAAGTGTCTTCCTCTATAGGTCTTCATGAAAGTGATCAGATTCCATGGGATCAAGAGACCTTGGAGATGGTGAGCAGCTAATATGGGTGATAAATGAAAGTTGCAGTTTAATGCGGATGTAAACTCTGACATATATATGTCTGAGAAGTTAAGCAAGAAAAGCAAGAGATATCTGCACATGTAGTGTGTTCTCAGCCATTTAGAGAAAACAAATTCATAAAAAATAAAAGAAAAAGACCAGAAGAAAACTTGCCAAATACTAACAATGGTTGCCTTTGAGTAATGGAATTTTTTTTTCTGTTTCTCTATGCTTTTTTGTACTTTCCAAATTGTCCTCAATGGGCATGCTTTATTCTTATAATCAGAATGATAAATAAAATGTAAATCACCAAATACGTGGTGATAGAAAGAAATCTAACTATGGGTGGTGAACACAATGCAATATATATATGCCTTACTGTTGAATTGTACACCTGAAACTTACTGGATTTCATTAACCAATGTCACCATAATAAAAATAAATTAAT